TTAATTAGCCATCAAATTCATTTATGGTTAAATATTGTTTTTTGTACTTTTTTCCCGATCAAAGATTTTTTTTATTCAAGGCATTCATATTCGCAGAACGATGTGATTATTTTCCGTTTATAAAAATTCAATCGATCGTTGCACATACGCAACGCCTTGAGATTTATTAATTAATAATTTTCCTCTTTGTTTTATTATCGCCTTAATGAAATCCCTTTTCCATTTTTTTTGATACCTTACTTTGTCGAACAAATAGATATAATTCGTGTCTAGACAATTTTTCATTTACGGACCGATAACATGTCACGTATTCCTATACCACGATACTAAAGCATACCAAAGTTTAAGTATCATACGTCTCTGAACACCTACCGACTACGTACAAGCTAAAACTGCACAGAGGCAAGGGAAATCGTCCACTCATTCCACCTAATCTTTTATAAGAAACCTTCTAATATATAGTAATAGAAGTCATGTACATGGGATTCCGCGAACAGAAGAAAACCACGGACATGAAAACATACGCCAATGTTATTTTCTGTCGTTACATTTTACGTTACCGCATGTTGTTTCACTTGTACTCTTCGTAATACGACTCGGTAAACAACGAGAATGCGTTGAAACTAAAGCGTCACTGTTGCTGTAACTACTCGATTAAGTATCGCGAGCGAACAACAATCGCACTTTTGTCCCTGTACAGTTTTAATTTGTGGGTAGTCGGCCAACTTCTCAGAGACGTATATTACATACGTCTGAACTGATCTAATGGTTGGTAGGATCGAAAACTACATCATTCTACAATCACCTTACTGTTAACTCGTAATAATTGACGACTTTGCTCTAAGGTGAATTTTACAAATATTTTTCCTTTGTTTTCCCTTTCTTTAAATTCATATCAACCGATTGGCCCTCTCTGACTCTGTAAGTCTGATAGTTGATAGTCATACGCGGGCTATCGTGATAATCGATTACGATTAAATTCACCAATGTGTATGTTCGCAATAGGTATATTTTTTTCTCTATATTATTGACTTAACAAGCCTATCTATTTCATGATTACAAATAGCATATATTCATAATCGAGAAAGAAATCTGCAATGAAATTATTAGTAATAGCTAATAATTATATGTATTATTAGCAAAAACACTGTCTATGTAATCCTACCAACGATTAATGACTGAATGTGGAAAAATATAAAACTTAACTAAATGTACACAACTTTCACTCATTCCCACGTACACTCACTTTCGCGCGCGCGCGCGCTACACACATTCATTGGAGGCATACGACATTTTCTCACACACACACACGCTCTCTTTCTCTCTCTGTTTCTATGTCTCTCTTGCTCGCTTTCTTGCTTTCACTTATCTTCTGCGTAATATTTTTTCTTTTGTTTCCAAATTTACATAAAGTACAAACTTATGAAAACCGGAAAAATGTAACACAATAGTCAGTGTAGCATTCTCAAAATGTCGTGTAGGTATTTTATCTAATTACATGGTCACACTTAGGTGTCCGTCGATTACACACAATTAGTACTGCGTCATTTGTTAAACTGTCTCTTTGAGTTGTCCGTGTTACACGAACAATTGAAATTAGGATTCTCCGTTGGAATGTCCCAACCCGCATCACCATTTCTTTTTTCCATTAACTATTACACCGACTTCCTGATATCAGTTTACCGTGTGCTCTCTCCCCCTTTCTCTTGTATTTTGTTTTTAAATTATTATTATTATTATATATCGTTTCGTTCCATTATTGACTGACGTATATGTTAATACGTTTTTTTTCTGCGGTACCCTCCAGCGCCAAACATTCATCCAAGTCCTGCCCGGTTTCAGTAGGTACATAAAGAGCAGCAAATAACATTATAACGATTCTTCAAAAGCAGCCATCAAATCGCTTTGCATGTTCATGTCTATTTGTCCAGCCATCTGAAATAATAAATACATCCTATTCTTGGCGGATTCGCCCACAGAGACTGCAGCCAGTAAAAAAATGTATTCACAGCACACATGCATGTGCCTGTATGTATGTGTGTATGTGTGTATGTGTGTATGTGTGTATGTACGTATGTACGTATGCGTGTATGTATGTATGTACGTATGCGTGTATGTATGTACATTAAAATCGCCCTTAAGTATGATTAGACCATTAAACCCTACAGCAGGGCTGTCAAACTGCCTCATCTCAAACTAGTGACTCTCGATCAAAGATTCCACTAATACCTCTACTCTATGAGACGCCTGAGACTGTGTGGAAGCAGCTCTATATAGTGTTCGATACAAATAGATAAAAGTAGATATGGAAAGGGTTACTATTGTCAATCGAACCGTGAGGGGAAAGAGCCTAGAGAGTTCACGAACTCCCAGTTTGACATCCCTGTGTTAAAGTATTGAAACTATAAAAATATATTTACATAGAAGTTACACTGTATAAGAGAAACGATTTTTTGACAGAAGCAAACTTTCCTTTTATATTATTAATTTAAAAAATATGGAAATCTAATTTCGTCTTTGATATAGAACTATAATAATAGGAAAAATCGAAATAAAATACATTCGAGCAGGAACTTAAATGTAATAATAAATGACTCAATAAAAAGTACATATTTCCATTTAAAAAACGAAACCTGACTATCATATTTTTTAAATTAATAATAAACACAAATTTACCTCTGCGAAAGACTTTATCCTTCTTGTGCCATGTAAGTATCATAAAGACGCATTTTGGTGTTTTGACACTTTGATACATTCAATACTTTAAAAGATTATGGTTTATCTATACTTTAGCGAAAATAGATTGTATATACACCCTTTCATATATTAAGAAATGTTTATTCCAAATTTTTTAATTATTATTTTCAATAATACGTTTAATAATGTCAACATTTTTTTTCAATAATATTTTTATACCTATATATCGATTATCTTCTACTGGAACTTTTATGTAACAGTTATAGTAAAATGCTAATTCGAAGAAACATGTTATTAACGCAAACAAAACGACCTGCGAAGAATGAGGTTATGATGACACTTACCGCTTCGCGGCGCCGTCGTTCTTGCTCCCGTAGCCTCTGACGTTCTCTTTCAGCCGCGGCCTTGTCTTGACTGGATGAATGACTTGGACTACTGCTATCGGTATCGACAATGGCCTTAACCTCTTCTGCCCTCGATGTAGCAGACATTACATTCCCCTGTTGATCGCCAACATTTTTTCTAACTTTGTCTAGAGCGTCTTCTTCCTCCCTTTCTCTTCTTCTTTCATTCTCTTGTCGCAAACGTTCTCTTTCCGCCTGTTCCTTCTGTTGCCTACGCATTTCTTGTTGTTCCAATAAAGCCCTTTGCTGTTAAAAAAGAAAGTTTACATTCGTTACCATATGTTAACAAAAAATAATATCAGAGTTTATCACATTAGACTTTATCATGAAGCACAATAAAACACTATTTATACTAACCCTATCTTGTTTTTCCTTGGCCTGCTTCTTGAATGCTTGGAATGAGTCCCTAGCAGCACTCTTCATGCTGCTTCCTGCTGCTGATTGCGGACTGGATGCCTGGGCCAGAGATGACCACGATGAGGCATTTTTCACATTTTGTTCTACAGTCTAAAAATAACAAATTAAATTTTTGTGTCATGAAAGCAAGGTTTTAATTAACAGTAAAGATCCTTAAAAATAAGATTAGGATATTAAATACTTATTTTCTTACCTTATTCTTAAAGGCTGAGGCAAAATTTGATGCAGGATTTTTCGAGTCAGGCGGCGTCATCTTTTTTTCAGGCATGAGTTGCGAACCTGAATGATTTCCCATTGGTGGCATTCCTAATGTACTCATTTCTGCAAATAGAGCTCCGGCTAGAGCAACGGCATTATATATTTTATTAGTAAGCAATTAATGCAAGGTTTTAGAATATAAACACATTTACAAAGGTGCGATAAAGCATGATTAAGAGTAAATCTTAATAAAGCTGATGTCTTCAATAATATAAATTATTGATTCTTTGTAATAAAAAAAAAATATTTCATAGTCTGTTTATTATATGAAAATGTAATATCATTTAGGACAGATTCTATTATGCAATTAGTGAACTTTTAATATGAACGTAACAGTAAGTTAAAAATGTGACCTACAACACCAAACGATTTGAAAAATTTAAAAATAAAAGGCAACAGCATTAAAATCCGTTCGACAAGACGAGTCAGTGAGAATAGATAGAAAATCAGCGTACTTTGTTTTAATTATATAAAGATGCAAATCCAACTTTGTCCCACTTGTGGATATCACGATCATATTTTTGCAGCTATAGACTCAGCTCATTGAACAGACTATAGTTATGATAACTAAAATATGAAACTGAATTTAAGTTAATATGAAACGTACCATCCATCGGCTTTTGAGTCATTGACGGTTGAGAAATGGGTAACGGTTTCTCTTCTTTCTTTATTGGCATTTGAGATATTTGCATTGGCATGGAAACGATAGGTAAGGGGTCAAAAATTGAACTCATTGCTCCCATATTCATTCCCATGTTGAGTCCAGATATGCCATTATTATTTAACATGTTAGGCGGAGAATTCTCACGCTTGATATTAGAAAATCCATTGGAATGCTGTTGCGACATTGTAGCATTATGTGAATTTGGTATATTAGTCAATGATGAAGTGGTATTTATCATGTTTTCCAATTGATTGTGCATCGACATATGAGTCGCTAATCCTTGCGGTAAGTTCATATTCAGATTGGCCATAGTTATGTTTCCCAAATTTAAATTGGATGCCATACTTGTAGGCATCATATTTACTGGAGGTTTTACATCCGCCATTAAGTTTAAACTATTATTGGTTGTCGTGTGTGGTGCTTGAATCATTGGTATATGCGGTTCTTTTTTCATTGACATCGTTTGTTCCAATGATTGCGTAGTAGGCACAGGAGCTAAAGGAAACAAAAAACATGTATGATCTCTTCCTCGCCTAATTCATTATATGCGAAAATAGCGAGTAATAATTAAATTTAAACATGTACCTAGAGTATTATACGGTTGTAAAAGATCTGATTGCTGAGTTAAAGCTGTTCCATCTGACGGTACAGGCGTATTTGCATTTGAAAAGGAACTAACGGACGTGGGTGGCTGTGGTGGCTGAGGCACAACCGGTGAAGGTACCATAGAATTTGTGTTTGTAGGAGTAACACTAGGAGGTGGAGTTGGTACAGAAACCGATGGAGTTGGTGGATTAGAAGTAGTCGGTGGTGGAGGAGTTGGTTTTTTTACAGGTGCAGCCGTAGCCATAGCTGTGGGTCGCGACGGTTGTGCTGGCATAGATGTGTGACTTGCTACGGGCATTCCTTGACCAGCTGTAACAGCTGCTACTGCCACGGACTGTTGATTACCACCTAACGAAAATATTAACATAAAAGTTAATAACACATATATATAAACTACAATATAGACTTAATCTTGTATCTTAGTTGAAAAATAAATAAATAATGCAACGTGCTTTTCAAATTACATATTTTTATACGTCGCAGAATAAAGCTAAACACAAAATTAAGAAATTATTGAATACTTTTACACTCAACAGTGTTGAATATAAACACCTAGTTAATATAATCAGTTATACATATTATATAATTAGAGTTATTATGATTATTACAAACCTTGTTCTGAAGATATATTGCTAGGTTGAGTTACAGCTGGTTTTGTTATTGGTCCCGTAGAATTTGTTGGGGGTTGATTGTTCATTAAAAGACCTCCAGTGTGATTCAATGTTGTTGCCTAAAGAGTTTACTATTACTTAATACAAATTACTTCCTTATATACCAAATGGTTTGTACTAGTTATGTTCAATGTTAGTTTTATGATATTAACACAGTATACCTTTAAATATAAATAGATTTAATACCTTGTATAATTGAAACCTTAATTATTATAACACAAAACGAATCAATTGTAGGATTATGGAAGAAATTATTTCAATTACATGAAAAAATATACAATGAATGGACAGTGTTATTATATATACAATAGTTCTTACTATGCCTTGACCGTCGTTTACATATTATCTTACCGGTGTTACAGTAGTTGTTGTAGGAGGTTGGCCTGTGCTTGGCGGATTCTTCTTTGTTTTCTTTCTTGGAGGACGATTGGAAGAATTTCCTGTAATTCAATGTAACATGCATCTAACTGTGAATATGTGCAATCAACCAATTTCTCATTACAAGAGATACTTCGATGTAAACATAGTGAAATGCAGTGTGCAGAGGATACCAGCCATGAGTGTTGTGTTTGCCAAGACACGAACTAAATATTAAGTATTATTAGAAACAAAATTAAAAAACTTCGAGCATATATTTTCTAATAGATTTTATTCATATGCTTATATTATAATTGTATCACTGTGTACAACAATGTTAATTTAAATATCTCAATTGTATGATTTTTTGTGGACTTTCATCTTAATGATTTTTATATTAAAAAATTTTTAATGCGCAGAACAATTCATTCTTTTCTCATTCTACATAAAGTTAGTTGTATTCAATTCATTTATGAATAATTGCATGTGCATATATATATATACATATACACATATACATATATATATATACATATATACATATATATATACATATATATATATGTATACACATCATAAATACATACATACATACCACGCGCGCGCACATACATACACGCTCACGTGTTGCGAAACTGCCACACATACATACATAACAATATATATGTATGCGAGAGCACGCACTTTTCCTTCTCTAAAGATAATAATAATATTAATATTAATAAGAATAAGAATAATAAGAATAATAGTAATAATAATAATAATAAGAATAATAAGAATAATAATAATAATGATTATTACAATAATAATCGTGACAGTGGCGAAAATGATGATTATAAAATGTTGACTACAAAAATCATCAAACTGCCTTTTTTTAATTTTCATACAGTGTAATGTAATATAATATAATTAATGTAATATAATAATAGAATTAATGCAAATAAAAGTCACGTAAATAGTACAATATGGACTCAACTTAAACATGAATGATACAAGAGTGTCACACTCATACAAGTAGTTTGCAACGTAAATTCAAGTCGTAGTCAGCACAACATTGAGATCGGTGGCAAGATACTCCTGCTCGGTGTCTATAGTATTAATTATATCAGTTACAAGAAGCAACTCGAATACTATATTTAACCTGACACATGCCCGCGATGAATTTATATTTGCAATGGAATGGTCAATAATAGATTAAAATTTATAAAATGTACAGTACAAGAAGAAATGATTATAAGAAGACATAGTGAAGAGCTAACAAAAACATCGAGTAGGAGTTCCAGCGTATCTTAATTTATATAATATAGTTAACTGGACCACCAAATGAGCCAACCCCGACTCTAGAACGACCTCAAAGAATTAATATTCTGTTTACATCACTCATCTACTTTTGTGTATGCATTTAAAAAAGTCTTCTGTGTGTCGCCTTCATTTATAACTTACATCTATTATTAATATTTTATGATATATTAGTTTTCACTATGTACAAAACGCGTATGCTTGTGTACTGTTGCTATGCAATTCGTAATACGCATAAAACAGATAGAACGTACATACAGCTTTTGAGAGGAGAGATAATTAATTATTTTTAAATAAAAGAGCGTCTCAAAAAAGCACAACGAAATATTAAGTTCGTTAAATCTGCTTTTGCGTATAACGATCTAGAAGGAAGAATGATGTTCCAGTCTGGACAAAGATGCGAAAAAATTTAGACGCGTGCTTGTATGTATATGGAATAAATGCTACAAAAATTTTGGAAGGCAATATTAATATTATTATAAAATGCCCTATACCTTGTGTTACAAGCTAATGGTGATTGTATTAATAAATACGTAGTTTCTATCTAATTCAGCACACGCCATCAATTTGATCTCACATAGTCTAACTAATTATTTGGAAATTCGTTTATTCACTTTCAATATTTTAGAAAACATAAAATGATAAATTATTCTGATCAACACTTGTTTCTACTTTAATACTTATAATTTCCTTATAAATCAATGAACATTCTTTTGACCAATTGTAGCTTTCTTCTTTCACTTTATTGTTTTAATAAAATTAATAGCAGTTAATAATTTATTTTTCTACGTCTTTTGCTGGAACAGTAAGTACGCTGCTGGCTGTATGATTAATGATACCATTAAATTGTACTGATGTGAATTTGATCACTTTTTTTTAATGTTCATGTTATACAACATCTTGAAGCAAAAAGTGCTTTCAAAAGCACCTTAGAATCTTATATCAGTTACGTCCATAACTTCTTATGTATATACTTTGCTATATATAAGAACTAAATTTACATGATATTTCAACAAAAAACGCTATCATGGAGCAGACATTTACACATAGAAATATAAAAACAAAATATCACTAAAATTAACCTCATTCAAACTTGTATAAAAGATTTTCTAAAAATGTTTTAATAGGACGGGTTAAAATTAATATTATTTCAAACGCTTTTACAACGTGAATACTTTGAATCAACAGTATGTTTTATGTATATTTCCAAATTATATTGTTGCGAGAAGATCAGATCCACTTTTAACAAATGTAATTATTTAACATAATTTGTATAGTAGGGTATGTAGCACTATACCGACCTATATAATTCATTGACATAATGATATTGATTTAATAGAATCGAAGAGTTTATCAAATTTTTGTTTACGTACTTCCAAAAATGAGAAAACTGACAATGGATACCAATGAAGAACTAGTGGTATATATAAAACAATGAAACGACGATTAGCAAAGCTTAGCGGAGTGCAAACAATGTGTTTGGAGGCTAGGGTGCCTTGTTTCTATTGTAGACCATTTCCTCAACCTGCTCTCGCTTCTGTTTCATCTACCATTCCCTTCTCTCTCTTTTACTTACAACAAGTAATAATATGAAAAGTACACTTTTCTGTCTGTGTTATCTACACACTCCCCTTGCCTTTCTCTTTCTCTGATATGTTAACATAAACCTTGTATGCTCAAAGTCATTAACCTTATAAAAAATAAATGGAAATTGTTGATTGTATCACATATCACATCATTCTCCGCTCAATTTACATCTGTATTGTAACAACTTTTACATCAACCCACATACTTAGAGGAAGATTTAAAAACTGCAGTTTAATTTCACTGCTTTATCTAAATAATACAGCATACTATTATACCAAAGCGTATTTATGAGGTGATAAATATTAATAATTGACATTTTAAAGGAAGCACCACTTCTTTGGCTTTTGTCAAACTAAACTTAGTTAAGAAATGGAAATAGTATATGAGGTAATATCAGGTAAGAGCTTTTAAGAAATATGTAAAATCTAATATTGTTTTGCGGAGACGATATTAACTCGAGAGTGTATCTAATTAACTATTTTGACGCGAAAGCTGTGGATTATAAATAACCTTAGACTGCTGACTTGCAAATCCAGCCACCAATACACATTGTCTGCATTTGTTTTCCGTGTGTATCATAATATCACTGCCTAATTTGTTCCTCTCAAGTATTGACCATTAAGTCCGCACAGTTCTAGTCCGTGGAAATAAATTATAGTGTTCAGAAGCCTAAACACAGTTCTCACGTCACTTGGGTAATAAGTGTATGTTCACACTTAATATAATAATGACGCTTATTAATATCACTGTTCTGTACTCTGATAAATGATACGACATGAATGAACCAATGCGAGGAAACAAACTTAATAATTTAAAAAACACAGTGATACAAGTAATGCTCTGCTTATCAATTAATGTAAATAAATATTAAGTTTGCAAGAGTTAATATATTGCATGATGTTGCTTGGGTTATGTAGGGCAATATAATTGTCAGGAAAAGCTACAATGTATAAATCCAAGGTACCAACATTTGACACTACAGTCTTTGTTGCCTATACCGTGTATTTTCTATACACATTGATGCAATTTTCTTTGCTGTTAAGTCAATTAACCTTACCATTTTTTTCCTTCGTGTACTTAATCAGATTCAATGTACCTGTATTTATATATATATATATATACATATACATATTACATATATATATTTCCAATAAAAACAGGTGACTGCAGTGAAAAAATTCAGTAACCTTGAATAGCAAACTATACTTGACTTTCGAGCAACAGAATGTATTGTCAACACCGACAGGGCAAGAGAAAATATAAGTAATCATTTTTAATCAATAATATAATTTGTGAAACAAGCTGGCATGGCATATGGTATCCTCTAAACACAGTCTGCACTCCACTAGCTCACCTTTTTTTTCTTACCATTGCATATTGTCTTGTAAATTAAATAGAAATTCTTTAAATTGTGTCAAGTTTCAAGTTCCGTATTTAGAGACACTTCTAAAGCTACTTTTCCTTAAAAAAAATACATGTAAATTTAAACAAGTATACGGTGATTAAACGTCCATCATCTATTGCAAACTTTACGATGAAACTTGACACGACATTCGTACTTGCATTAATGTAACGCAGCACTTAAGCTACACGAATAACGCCGTCCTAATAAATACAATTAATAAGCAAGATTTAGCAGCTTAAGAAGATATTTGCGATGCATTTGTGCAGTCAAACCCCGTCTGAAAAATCTCTGTATCTATTCACCACTGCATACTTGTTGTTGCATCGGTATTTTCGATTGTTTAAAATGCCAATACAAAATTGGTTAGGCACAGAGTTCATATTATTTCTTAAATTTTAAGTCATCACCAAATCATGAGGCATAGAATTTTATATTTTTATTATTTCACGAAGCACTACTATCTCGATAGCATTTATAAATATTTCTTTTCAAGAATATATTTAATTTGTTACAGTCAAAGGAATGATATTCGTGATCTTAAAATCCGATACTGGAATATTATTTTTTACTTAACCATTCGATTACTACACTTGTAATATTAATTGTATTTTACTTGCATATTTCCGTTTATAGCGCGCAAATTCTTATTACATAAAACCGTATAATATTGGAAAAGGACCGAAGATTATTGATATCCAAACATAAAAATGTAATAGAACTGTAATCGTATAGCAACTGAAGATATACATAAAGAAAAACATGCATAAACAGTAACATTCCTTCTATGCAATGAAACGAAACCAAAATAGAACTAACTTTATTTTTTTTTATTTCTATGTAGCAAATACCCGCATGAATTGGTGAATAACTTTATTTAAAAAAAAGGAAAAACTATAAGATTCACGTCTATGATTTTCATATTTTACTTGGAATAACGATTTTTTTGTCTCAAATAAACACTCATACCTGAGAAATTAATGAATGTACAAATGAATTGTTATATTACTAAGAATATATTAAAAACAGAATTTATAAGCTATTCTGTCACATTACAAGAGGGTATAATAAGAAATAAAGTAATATATACTGAATGCACTGTATTGTCTCCGTAATATTTTACAGCATAAACGTGAATAGAAATCTGTGCTCTATAGAACAAATTAGCAGTAACAAATGTCACGAAAGACTTTCACTAAGAATGTCTATTCCTCAGAAGAAAAACAGTCGCAAATAACCCCATAATTTTAAATCTCACAGAAAAATTAGTTCATATTTTCATGGAAACTACTTATTTATAAGTAGTTCATTGTTCCCAAGTAAGGGTCTAATAATAGCAACAGTTACATGAGGTTCATATCTAACCTGCTTCACTGTCGCTTGAATCACTGGAGCTCGAAGAAAGTGAACTACTGCTGGAGTCGCTATCACTGCTACTACTGCTTGATGCTGACAATCGTGAAGGCCCACTGGCTCCTCCAGTTCCAACTACGTCAACTGACTTACTACTGTCTTCTGTAAACAGTATTTAAAATAATTGCAAAATCTGACATTTCAAACAATCATTGCCATCACTGGTACTTTCAAGTATTAAGAATTCTGTTTCACAAAGTAAAGATAAATTACTAACCTTTCTTAGCAGTTTTTTTAACATTTCCTAACTGCCCTGTTACATCCTGTAACCTTTTCTCTAGCTCCTGTTTTTTCTCAGCCATTTGTTCATCTTTAGATTTACCGCTAACCTTTTTATCTGTGAACATTCAAATTCAACCACATTACGAATGTGCATGAATTCTTATTTCCAATTTCTCAAGATTATTAAGTAATAAAATCAATATATATATATATTTTTTTTTTAAAAATGGGATAAATATGGTATTATCGTTAATATCGTTAATATCGGTATAATAGTTGTGTTATAATACAACTTTCATTAAAAAATAATGCACGTCTTAAATGAAACAATGTGATGAGTATTTAATGGATTTTTTTTTATATCTAACAATGAAAGTATGTATTACATAAAAAGTAAAAAAAGTCTAATCTTACGTGGTTTCTTTCTGAGACACGAGGCGACATAGCTTTCTAATTCTCTCAGTGTGGATGGTTTTAACGTTTCGAAGTCAATTTCTATCTCATCTGGATTTGAGTCCCTTAATGAAGGTTCTCGAGATTGTATTATATGTACGACTCGCCCTAATTTGTCCCCTATAACATAAATATAAGCAGCATATATCAAAAACAATCAAGCATATATTCACTCTTAATCCTTTGACTGAGCATAACGAGTTAACTCGTCATTCAAGTTAAATTTCTTTTCTCAGTCATTCGTTTTCGTGTTCGTTCAACAAATAATTTTTATATTTCATCGAATCGTAATGTTTATGTTAGTATCAATCATGCAATGTTGAAATGTATCATTATACAATGTTCACTACATTAATCTAATTCGCCTAGAGTTGCGATTTCACTAATTTTCACGTTTGAAAAACATGCAGTTAAATGGTTAACATTGTGTATAATAGCTATAGCTTACCAGGTAATTTATTAATGTCCAAGCTAAGTTGTCTCTTCTCGTCATAAGACATTGGTTTAGCATTGTCTTCATCCTCGGAATCAAACGTAATTGGAGGTGGTTGACTACTGGCACTCTTTTTCTTAGTTCCAGCCGATCTACTGTTTGCTTTTGGCCTTTTATTCGCAGTATTTGCCGTTGCAGCTTTTCCAGGTCCTCTCCCTTTTCCTTTTGTCTTAGGATTTGCCGCGGTTGGCAGATGATGACTCATACTTCCTGCTGCATGAGTTTTATTAGGTCCTACTGTTATAGCAGGATGATGAAGATCACCACCTATGCCACCAGGCATTTTCAAATCACCTGCTCCCATTGCAACACTAGCTATACTAGCACCAACACTATCAGAAACATTTGAAATTCCACCACTTGGTTTCATTAGTTCTTTCATGGCACCAGTATGACTGGCAACAAGGCTACTACTCTTATTGCTCATTGGCCTTGATTTTGTCTTGTCTGGTTTCTTCTTTTTACTCTTCTTTTTACCACTTTCTTCTACTAGCTTCCTCATTTGTTCTTGCATAGCTTTAAGCTGCAGAAGTTATTAGTTTTAATATATTAAATGTATAATGATAAAACACATTAATATACACAATTATCATGTTTTATTCATGTTTTATATATATATATATATATATATATATATATATATATATATATATATATATATATATATATTTATTATACATACCTCTTGCTGCAAAGCAACCAATTTTTGGGTGCGTTCTGCGTCTGAATCGTCACTCTCAGAAGAACTTTCAGATCCCGAACTACTGGCACTACTACTGCTGCCTTTCATGCCTACCATGCCTCCCATTGGTTCATCCGGAATTTTTGCGTACCTAATTTATTAAAAATTTGATTTCATAAAATAGAAAGAACGAAACAAACACACTTTATTTGCGATGTTTATACAAACGAACCTCATTTCGAAAACATCTTGAAGTTTCCTAGCCATTGCAACAACATCGTGATCAGGAGGATTGTATTTATAACAATTCGTAAATATGAGTCGTACGTCACTAGCAAACTCTTGTGCAGTTTTGTATTCACGGTTATCCATTTTCGTCTATAAAAATGATAAGAAAAGTAAACGAATAAGTATCTCATGCAGTATAGTCGAGTAATAATTATTATAAATATATAATAATAACACTGAAAACTTAGAAGTATTACCTTCACCGTACCAAGATCCATTGGCTTTTTTATTATATCATGATAGTCGTGAAGACCTAATAATTCTGCATCCACTGGTTTATAGAAGGGCCACGCATAACCCTACATATTATAAAAAAATAGATTACAAAAATTGTCACAGTAATCTCACATTTTTCTCATATGTTGTAATAATTACCGAATGCTTCTTTGAAAATAGTTCCTTCAAAATTTCATTACAGGATTTCAAAGCTTCGGAAAGTTTTTCCTTCGATTTTCCAGTGGTATGCTGAGGCTGTAAAACAACATGTAAATAAGAATAATTACAAAAACATATAGCGCGTTTGAAATATCACAACTTAAAAAGAAAGCAGTTTATAAAAGCATTTTTAACATTGCAGCCTACTTTGAATAATGCACAAAGTCATATTAAAAGAATAAAAATATTAATAGGAAGTGATTTTCACTTTCTTAACAAAAAATATTTAGATAATTTCTCGGCGAGGTAGTTTCAGACATTTAATATGATAAGACAGCACAAATGAAAGGAAGGAGCATGAAGGAGTAGTAATAAATGTACCTGTTGGGCCATTGCCCCAATCAGGGGCATGTTGGCCTGGAATGGCACTAAGCCGTCTTCCGCTTGCCTCGTTGGCTGAAACAGCCACGTTACAAACTCTTTGTTAATGTATTAATGGCTGATATGATCATAGCATGCAAGGAACAAAAATAGTTGAATATACACGATGCTTATTAAAATCTCTTTTTTCGTTATATATAAAATGATTTAAAGAAACCGAAACATTCTCTTTTATACGTACAATTTACTATCACATGGTCTTTTTGATACCTTTTTTAAGTATAAAATGATTAAATGATGAACAGGTTGCGTGTTCAGCATGAAGATTGTACGAAAACACACACAATGAATGTTTGACAAATTTAAAAGACTTAATACATAATTAGTTCGTGAAGCATGAGAACATCATATTACCTTCTTTATTTGTCTGCCAGATTCTCGTCTCGTAGGTATTTTGGCATTTTTAGGATCCAGTTTATATATAGGTTCAAAAGAATTTGCAGTAGGAGTTGTAGTATCAGCCTTTCTCTTCACTCCCTTTTTAAGTTTTGCAGGTTGTGATGGAGGCATTACTGTGGGTGCAGTGGGAACTTGTGGAGGAGGGGGTACAGCAGAGGCTGCTTGCGGATCCATTGCTGGTTGCGCATGGTATCCACTAGTTGGAGGGACCACTTGCTGAGGCAGAGAATTGTGAGTTGCCATGGGAGTGACTCCCATGCTTGATGGAGGAGCAATAGTAGTCGTGTTCGTGCTCCCAGGTACAGATGCAGGTGCCTGAGTACCAAGTGGAGGCATGGGAATAACGCCTGTCGTTCCAGCCGATGTAGCTGAAGGCGTTAGGCTATTCGGTACACTGGAAGTAACTGCAGCTGCACCAGACGAAGGTCGACCTCGACCTGTGCCTCCTGCACCGCCTGCTACACCACCCACTGGTGCTCCAACTCTGCCAGTTTTTTTGCCTTTGGGTCCCTTTGAGACAGGAACTTCGAGTTCCACCTCGTCCTTTGGCATTTGTGCAACCTACAATGGTTGTTTTAATGTTTGCACTTTACTATCAGACATTTCGGATGTGTATATGTAACCACATAATGGAAATATGTATTATCTTGTTGTAAATAAAATGTTATGGGTGACTTTCATAAAAGTCGCTGACCTTCGTAAGAAATAATTTTTCGAGTGCTTGTGCCATAACCACAACATCTTCCCCAGGTTTGTTGTAAACATAGCAATTCGTGAACATGGTATTGAAATCTTGAATACATTCTTTCCCACTCCAGTAATACGTATTTTCTAATCTTTTTTTGATTGTGCCCAAATCCATTGGTTGTTTTATAATTTTGTGATAATCCTAATAAATATAGAAAAATTCAATTAGTTTTTAAGATTAAATCTGTTTCCCTGTATTTCTTTAGCTTTAAGTTTAGTATGAACGTACTGGTAAATTGAGTTTCTTGGCATCTACAGGTTGTTGAAAAGGCCACGCGAATTGATGCTTCCATACTGGTTTGAGCACACCTTTTTGCAAAAACTGTAGTTGATTGGTAACACGACCTGGGCGATTAGGTGGTGGCACAACAGGTGGTTGGACCACACCATTCACTGGTTCCACGGGTGGTTCATCACGTGGTGGTGGTTCCTTTGGAGGAGCCGCTGGTGTAGTCGATGTCTTACCAGGTGCACTTGTCTGCATTATCCATTATTTATTTATACATTTTATATCAATATAACCTTACTTATTCAGTTAGTACTATTACTACTGTTATTTTGTAATATTAAATTCAAAATTGAAAGTAGTATTTATCCTTACAAAGCACAAAGTCAAACCACTACCTTGTTTTTTAATTAAAATCAATACTAAAAATTTAAATTATAAATAATTCTATTATGTAATTCATGCTTAAACATTGTATTATAAATTTCAATGAAAGTTTCACTTTTAAAAGTGTAAATATGCATTATCACTTCTGCAGAAAAAAATTCTAAAAGTTCTGACATAAATACTTTAAATATAGCTCAAATAAAAGGATATACAATATTTACTTCTTAGAAGAATATAGTACATCATTAATCATTTTATTCTAGCATACAGATCAAATAATTTTAGTAGAATTTCATGCACTATAATGTTAGATAAACCCATTCATGCAACGAGCAAATTAGGCTGCTAAATATTTAGATTCCATAACCACAGGCAAGCAATTTAGAATTTCCTCTTGATAGAAATTTAATTAAATATGTAATCAAAATGTATATGTATCACAAAAATATTTCCAACTGAAATGTAATGGCAACTCGAAGTCATTTCATACGTCATGCAAATAATAAATAATAAATAATAAAAATAAATGGTATGTAATATCAGATACTAATTTTCGATTGTCAGTAATTATATAATAAATTAAACAACAAAAACAATCTATAAAATATTAAGATTGTATGAAACGACTTACAAGCTTTAAACATTTACACATCATATATTTCATAAAAAATTAAAC